AATTTCAGCATAGCAGTATCATGATATTAATACTCATACTCATAGTTTAAGGAGTCTATTGTATTAGCGACCAAATAAAAATGGCGTTTCCTGTATACTCAGATAAATCAAACCTGGTTGTGTACGTGATTTTTCAGTCCATTTGCCGACCATTGTTGAAAAAAATCTGTTTGGGTATTTTACTTTGATACGTTTAGTTCGTCTTATTTCCAGTATCTCTAAATTCCCTAAATTCTTTGCAGTGAAAAAAAAAAAGATTCTTTCTTTCCTTTTATGTGTCCTCTTTTATCTGTGTCTACGTCATACATATATATATATATATATATATATATATATAGATAGATAGATAGATAGATAGATAGATAGATAGATAGATAGATAGATAGATAGATAGATATATAAGGGTGAAACTATGAGCATATTATTGTACAATGTCATAATAAAACTTCAAATACTCAAGTCTTCATTATTTTTTTGTCTTATCTTATCACACTTACAATAATGATGCTGCCGATGCTGATGCTGATGATGATGATGATGATGATGATGATGATGATGATGATGATGATGGTGATGATAATGATGATGATGATACAATATGATAGTGATGATGCTGATGCTGATGATGCTGATGCTGATGCTGATGCTGATGCTGATGCTGATGATGATGATGATGATGATGATGATGATGGTGATGATGATGATGATGATGATGATCTTCAGGACGTTCTCCTCGGTCAGTTTCTCATCGACAGGAATGATAGAGATGAAAATGACAATGAGAACGTCTAAGATTACGGCAGCAGAACGGCAGCACCTACCTGCAGTTCGGGAGTCTCAAGCGAGATCCTGAAGTCTTGACTGAGTTCGTCGATCACCACGTCATAGTTTGAGCTGTTTGTGTCAGAGGTCAAGGACATGCTAGGGGTCAAGGGGTAAAGGTCGTTGGGCAGATTAGCGCCCCCTTGCATCAGGACTTGGCTTAGTACCTGACCTGGAAACAAAAGATGTGAGTTATCCAACAGTTAAATATCTCAATCAAATGCCATATTTGATGTGAAGTTTTTTGAAATAGAAATTTGTTGTACTGACAAAGACTTTACCTAGTGTTTTCATTAGCTTCTCTTTTTTTTTCCTTTTATTTTCTGTGTAAAAAAATCTTATTGTATCGATTTCCACTTCAAGAGAAATACAAAATTTAAAACAGAGGCAGCTGGAAAAAAATTTGAAAGTCGTTGCAATCTCCAATTGTTGGTATCGTTTCAAAGCTTTTGGCTATTCTGTACACTTATTTCAAAGAAATATTTATGAAAGCCCAGAACATCATTAGGAGAATAGAATCCTCCCCCCCCCTCTCTCTCTCTCTCTCTCTCTCTCTCTCTCTCTCTCTCTCTCTCTCTCTTTCTCTATTTCTATCTCTCTTTCTCTCTATCTCTCTCTCTCTCTCTCTCTCTCTCCCTCTCTCACACACACACACACACACACACACACACACACACACACAAACACACACGCGCGCGCGTGTGCACACACACACGTGCACTCACATATGCATACTCACAAACACAAGCATATACACTTTTCCTTAAAAAGAAGTCAAACATTTCATAAAAAATAAAACAAACTCCTAAACCCACCTTTCCTTTACCTTAGAATTTAAGCAACAACAACAACAACAACAACAACAACAACAACAACAACAGCAGCAACAACAAGAACGTCGACTAAAAGAGGCTCTAAGCCAAATAACAACATTGACAAAAACCCTCATGGAAATAAATCTGCAATCCTAAACTGTGGGTGGTTGGTGGATGCTCTGGTGTGCTTTGCTCCTTCTATCCTATAAAGAAATCTACTGCCCTCATCTCTCACCCTTTGGTTTTTTGTATGGTAGATCCTAGTAACACCTCTACTCTTTGGCACTTACATTATGGCCTAATGATGTTGCAAGCGCTGTAAAAATCTTACTGAAACTAAAACTAAAATTATACAAACTGGACAAGGTTGAGTCGAGACATGTCGCCTGATACATGTTTTACTATAACTGACCTTATTCAATCTTCAGTACTCCAAACGAAATAATACTTTAAAACTTATATAGTTTTATACAAATCCGTTTGTGATCATGTTATTTATTAAACCGATAACAATACTGTAATATCTCTGAATTACAGAGTTCAATCTGTTCAGTACTTAGTTTTGATAAATTTAACTTCAAAGATGTTGAGTTTCATATCCATATCAAGCTTTATCGAATGCATTTCTTTGACTAGTGACAATCTTACGATTTTAATGTAGTAAATAGAACATTAAGCTTTCTGACCTCACGGTCTTAGTAACTCAAAATGGCAAAAAAAAGTCAGATAAAATTTAAAATTCTGAGGTAGCAATGTACCATAGATGAAATTTACTTCATGTATTAAATGAAAATAATCCCTACTAAAATGACTGCTGTATATAGAGTCCAGTCTTTAGAAGTGCACTGAGTGACCCGAACACTATCTGTCTCTAAAAAGGATCCAAGACAGGAATCCATTCTTTCCAGAATCATAGGTGGAAAATCCAATAAAACAAAAGAACAAAAACATCAATAAAAGCCAAAAAAAACCCCCAAAAAACAGAACCAGTAAACAAGACGACTAAATAACTGTCAAGCCAACCTATTCAAAAACACGCCAGGAGATTAATTAATAGATAGATAGATAGATAGATAGATAGATAGATAGATATATAGATAGATAGATAGATAGATAGATAGATAGATAGATAGATAGATAGATAGATAGATGGATAGTTGGATAGATAGATAGATGGATAAATAAAAGTGCTACGAAGGTAAATCTCCACAGACGGTTTACATAAAGCCAAGGTGCCAACGATTTCTGGCTCAAGAATACACCGATTTTTATCCAGAGTTCCTTTTCACACTTTTGACAAGGGAGACTTATTCTTATCGAGCTTGTCAATAGATGTAGCTTCAGAGAAGATAAGACAAATTCACCTTTAGATAAAAATCATCCTTAACACATCATTTGCACATTTTCAGCTTTTTAAATGCGTGCGTGTGCCTAGATCTCTTTAACTGACTTTAACGACTTCTAACTCCGTACTCTCTTTATACTTGATCTAACATCCCCCCCCCCCGACCCGCCAACTCTCTCTCTCTCTCTCTCTCTCTCTCTCTCTCTCTCTCTCTCTCTCTCTCTCTCTCTCTCTCTGTGTGTCTCTCTCTCTCTGTCTCTCTCTCTCTATCTATCTATCTATCTATCTATCTATCTATCTATCTATCTATCTCAGGTCTGGATGAGTGTGGGAGAGTTTGTGTGAGTGGGATGCTTCCGGCAGGCGGAGATGAAAGAACGGTACCGCCGTAAGCCTCCCGCAGAGACTCGGATAATCGGGAGACGACGAAAAAAACCAAGAACCGAAATGCTGTCTCTGACGAGGCGGGTAGAGGAGAGGAAAAGAACAATTCAAAGAATAGAGGGACGCGAGCGGATAGATAGAGAATATTTGTTAATTAGGATGTGTCTCCAGAAAACACTTACTAGAATAGGGGGGGG